TTCTGCAGTTGAATTTAGCATTTAAGGAGTGCTTGTCACCAAGGAGGCATAGCTTCTGGCTTTATTGAGAAGTCTGTTGCTAAGACACAGTTTTAATTTGTTTGCACACTTTTCATAAGAATGGTGAGTGTTTATTCACAGAGAGAAACTGAGATGTAAGAGTTAAAAGTTGGTGGAAAATTAATGATTGTAGAGGATTAAACCGCAAACAATTATTTTATTTATTCCTTTCGACTAGAGGCTTTCAAAGTAAGGTCCTGGGACCGGGGCATCAGCATCACCTGGAAACTTGATAGAAATGCAAATTCTTGGGCTCTACCCAGACGTACTTGAACCACGGAATTGCCAGCGTGTGGCTCAGCAGTCTGCTTTAACAAGATCTCCAGGTTATTCTGATGTATATTAATATTTGAGACCCATCCTGGGCAATATAGGAAGATCCTGTCTCTACAAAAATATTTTAAAAATTAGTCAGGTATAGTGTCACTGGCCTGTAGTCCTAGCTACTTGGGAGGCTGAGGCAGGAGGATAACTTGAGTCCAGGATTTCGAAGGTTGCAGTGGGCCATGATTGCACCACTGCACTCTCAGCCTGGATGGAAGAGACTATGTCTCAAAAAAAAAAAAAAAAAAAAAAAAAAAAGAGAGAGAGAGAGAGACCCACTCCTCTAAAGTCTAGAATAGGACATCATGCAGGCCTCCACATATCAATAGCACTAGCAGCTAAGGAGACTAGCTTTCCCCTGCTGGAAAATTCTGTAATAACATCACCTGGAACAGATGCCTCTAGAGAGGGAGCCCATTTTTTTCAAGACCCACAACAACTACCTCATGTTGCCTCCTGATCTCCTAACTAGAATCAAGTAACAGCATGATCCTAGAAGATAAGTACATGCTGTTACCCAAAAAGAAATAGCTTGCACACAAAAGAATTACAAGATTTGATAATATATGTCATTAGAAACCTGGGCAACATGTGTAGGAGTATTCTAATAAGGGCAGAAATTCACTACATTTGTCTGACTTCATGCAATCTAGAGATTCTAAATTTAATTTGTTAGCTTGAGCAGCTGGAAATGGATCTAATAGCTTAATTGGTTGGTTGAATGAATGTTGTGCTCAACAATAGTCTATGTTTAGTAAGGTCAAGATTCCAGAGCTTTGCTGGCATAATGTAGGGGAGAGTATGCAAAGTCTCTAGGAGATAAAAATGTATACTGAGTTTATCCTGTCTGTGAGAGGGCTCAGAAGACACTCCCTCCATGAAGCAATGAGAAATACATTAGCGTCTTCATCCTTGGCAAACTCTGCAGTTGTTCTCCTTTGAAAGCCAGGTTTGTAGCGAATGCCACCATTTAGATTTTTTTTTTTTTTTTTTTTTTTGAGACAGAGTTTTGCTCTTTTTACCCAGGCTGGAGTGCAATGGCACAATCTCGGCTCACTGCAACCTCTACCTCCCAGGTTCAAGTGATTCTCCTGCCTCCGCCTCCTGAGTAGCTGGGATTACAGGCACTTGCCACCACACCTGGCCAATTTTTTGTATTTTTAGTAGAGACAGGTTTTCACCATGTTGGCCAGGCTGGTCTCAAAATCCTGGCCTCAGGTGATCCACGTGGCTCGGCTTCCCAAAGTGCTGGGATTTACAGGAGTGAGTCACTGTGCCCGGTGAGATGGGGGTCTTTGATTTCATGGAGATTATGCAATCCCAGAGTACAGAGGCCAAGTGGTAACACTTAACCACCAAAGACAGGAGGGACACATCAACTATCGTATCTCTTTTTATCCCAGATAATTCTTCTTGTTCTGATGTCTATTTTATCTGATAATTAATATAGCTACTCTAGCATTCTTTTGTTTTGTATTTGCATAGTATATTTTACATCCTTTTACTTTCAACCTATCTGTGTCTTAAAATGAACTTTGTGTGGCAGAATATATTTGATCTTTCTTATTTATCCAATCTGATACTCTGTACCTTTTAATTAGTGTGTTTTGACCTTTTACAATAAGTAGGATTATTGATATGTTTGGGTTGAAATCTACCATTTTGCTGTTTTCTGTTTTTTCATGTGTTCTTAGAGGTTCCTTTCTTTTCTGCTTTCTCTTTTATTCATTGAGCATTTTTATGATCCCAATATACATCCACATTTGAATTATTATTTATGCCCCTTAAAAGTAATTTAGCGTTTGCCCTATTGTTTACAGTATCTATCTTTAATTAATTAGAGTTTACCTTGAGATAACATACTGCTTCATCTCTACTACAAGGACTTTATAACAGTATATGACCATTTATTTTTCTCACGTTTTATAATATGATTGTGATACATTTACTTTTATATATGCTATAAACATGCACTGTATTGCTACTATTTTTTTTTAAACTGTCAGTTGTGTTTTAGAGAAATTAAAGTCAAGAAAAAAAGAAAAATATTTTCTTTCACTGTCATGTGTTTCATTTCCATTCTTTTAATGTTTTGATTCAAAGAGACTATGATTTTTTGAGACCAAAATGATCTTTGGACCCCAAACTTCTACATCAGGAATTGGAGCAGTTAGCAGTTTTGCCTTCAAGTGGGTCATATTGTCCAATGCCCTTTTCATGCATGGCCAAGAAAGATACAGGAAAAATAAGTACCTCCCAAGGAAAGAGTAAATATTTGTAGAAAAAATAATACTCTACAGCTACTGACAGGGAGCAGAACCAGGGTCTAATCAACCAACTAGCCCTACCCAAAGGATGCAGGCATTTCACAATGCCTGGATGAGAGCATTACAGAATTGTTATGAACCAGTGACTGCTATACCCATCTTATTCATCACCTTTGAAATATGAGTGTTACTGGGGATATTGTTTCCTCATTCAACCATTGTAGGTAGATGAATAGAAAACAGATGACTTGCCTTTTTGTTCCTAGATAAGGAGAAGGCATGCACAGGATATAGAAACTATAACGGAATTTGGGCTGAGACTGATACTGTGATGGAATGGGCTCTTTAGGGGTATCTTCCTTGGGGAATAGGTAAATATATTTTGTATGTGGAAGGGAGGGAAACAAGTATTTAGACTAGGAGAAGAGATTATTCTAACGCTTAGCTTTTGTTGTATAACAAACCACAGCAAAACTGAGTGACTTAAACAAAAGCTATGCATCATGATTCCTCTGCTCTGAGCCAGGTTGGCTAGGACTAGATGGTCTAAGATAAATTCATTCACATACCTGGTGGTTGGCTTGACATGTCAGCTGGGTCATTCGGGATGACTTTGCAGAGATTCTCATCATCCAGCAGCCCAGCGTATGTTTACTCACATGACTGTTGTTGCAAGGTTCCTGGGAACAGCAAGATAGCAAACCCCTTACTATGCCTCAGCTTGCATCATATTTGCTCACTGTTATTGACCAAAAGATGCTACATGGCTGTATTAGTCTGTTCTTATGCTGCTAATAAAGATATATGTGAGACTAGGAGTTTATAAAGGGAAGAGGTTTAATTGGCTCACAGTTCCACATGACTGGGGAGGCCTCATATTTGTGGTGGAGGGCAAATGAGGGGCCAAGTCACATCTTACATGGCAGCAGGCAAGACAGCGAATACAGGGGAATTCTCCTTTATAAAACTATCAGGTCTTATGATACTTATTCACTATCAGGAGAACAGAATGGGAAAGACCTGCCCCCATGATTTAATTGCCTCCACCTGGACCTGCTCTTGACATGTGGAAATTATTATAATTGAAGGTGAGATCTGGGTGGGAACACAGCCAAACCATATCAACGGCTAAGCACATATTCAAGAGGGGAAGAAAATGTACTTCACCTATTGATGAAGATGGAACGTAGTCTATTGCAAACGGTCATGCATGCAAGAATAAAAAAAAAAGTTGTGGTCATTTTTTAGATTTTATTATTTTTCTCCATTATTAGAATCTCTCCTTATAACAAGATTTTGCATCACTGCACTTGTCATATGATTTGCAGAACCTCCCTGTAAGAGGAATGTACTTTCCCATACCACTGATAAAATTGGTTACATGACTTTCTTTGATCAGTGTACTGTAAGCAGATATGATGTTTGCTGCACTTCAGTAGAAGCTTTAATGGCCATTACCTGATTCTACGTTTGACCATTTTTCTCCTCTACCACAAGAATAGCATGTTTCAAATTAGGGCTTTTTTAGCCTGGATCCTAGAATGAAGAAAATATACAAAGCAGAGTCATAGCTGATCTCTAGTATGAATGAAAAGTAATCCTTTGTTTGATAAGCCCTTTGTGTTTTGATGGTCATTCTTTACCACGTTGGAACCTAGAGAAAAATTAGGGTGATTGATTAGCTTCTGTTTTAGGATATTTCACCCATTCCTTTTAGATGGATCTTTCCTTTTGATTTATATTTTAATTTTTTTTAACCTTCAAGTTCAGGGGTATGAGTACAGATTTGTTGCATAGGTAAACTTGTGTCATGGAGCTTTGTTGTACAGACTATTTCCTCACCCAGATATTAAGCCTAGTACCCATTAGTTATTTTTCCTGATCCTCTCCCTCCTCCCACTCTCCACCCTCTGAAATGCCCCAACATGTTTTTCTCCTCTATGTGTCCATGTGTTCTCATCAAATTGTTTAAAACGCTCATAGATATCTTAAAATGCCCTTGTTCCTATTTTCTTTTCCAGGTTTGCCCATGCCTCCTACCCAGTCACAAGTAAATTTATCAAAAGAGCTATACATGACTTGTGTTTCTTCATACTCTGTTCACTCCTAAAGACCCTTACAGTCTACATTCTCCCCTGATAACTCCATCAATACAATCAATACCACTCTTGCCAAAGACATCAATGATCCCCACATGGCTGGTTCTGCTAACTCAACAGCATCCATCTGAGAAAGTTGACATTTTAAACTTTCTTTGAGCAATGGAACATTAGTAGATATGATTTAAGCGGATTTAAGAAACCAATGACCTGACCTGGTTTTACTTTCTCCTTTGTTGGGCTATTGTAGGTTTTCTGTGACTTCCATGGCCACTCCCAAAAGAAGAATGTGTTCCTTTATGGCTGTAGCATCAAGGAAACCTTGTGGCAAGCAGCATGCACTGTAGGCACATCTACTATCCTAGAGGATGTCAACTACAGGGTAAGCCGCTGTAGGGAATGACACCAGATATGCTGTGTCCATATTCTTTATTCTTACCTTTAAGACCATGCCCCACTCATTTGTTCAGTTTTTTTTTTTTCTGGTAAATAAGCATTTTGATTATTTTAACCATAGGGTTGTAATACAAGCAGGCTGGAGGCATGTGTAACCTCTCCTAATTTTTGTTGAATTATGACTTACTTCCTTGTTGCTTTGCCTCCGTTTTCTATATGGTTTGATATTGTATAAAAGACATGAGAACTACAGACAAAAGAACTCATCTTAATGCCTGACTTGGCAATTATTCAATTATTAACTGTGTGATTATAAGGTCATTAACATTACCTCACTGAACCACCCTTCTCCCATCTGTCAAATGAGGATAGTAAAAATACTGCCTCTCTTACATAGCTTATGGAAGGAACAGAATGATACTGAATACAAAAGGACTTCAAATAAATAGGAAGGGATGAACAAACATAAGCCATTAAACCATCCATATTTTTCTGCCTGAGCATTCTATAAAAAACAGAGCAGTAATCCGCTGACCCTAATTCTATTTTACCTTAGTTTTAGTGATTAGAGCTCAACTGTTCCTCCATGAAACCACATAGGAAATTAGGGAGGGGTAAAGAAAAGAGTACATCTTTCCATCAGGATATAGGCAAAAAGCTATTGCATAGTGAGAATCAAGAAGAAACAGAGAAGCAAAATTGCCCAAACACTAAATGAAAACTGGTCTTTGTTTACAATTTATGTAGAAAAAGTAGAAAATTATGATGGTATCTGCCTCTTCTAGGTCTGTTATTCTGGGTATGCAATTTACTATCTGCAAAATAGCTTCATTCCCCGGGTTAATGATAGTATTAAGAGGTAAAAATCTACCAAATCACCATTTCACCTGGAAATACGTCCCCTCTTCTCTAGCCTTCTTCACCCAGTCCATCAAAAATAGACTGCCGCTGATCAATACAACCACCCCAAGGCTTTTATAGCAGAATCAACAGTTATCCTCAATAATCTGTTTGCTGTAAGGCTCAACCAGAGTAATGATGATAAACCATAACAAGCTTAATAACTTAATCTTATTTAGGAAACTAGTTTAGTAAATTAAAGCATTCATCTGGGCAGTTCCTGTGGACCCAACCCATATAAAATGATCTCTTATGTGTGATACATCTTGAATCAAAAAAATCTACCATGGTCCAATCTTAAATGTAGAGTCAGTGTGTTTTTTACTTCTCTTTTTCCAAGAGAAGGTAATAATATTGATAGATAATTCCCTATATACACAGGAAAAGGTATAAGACACAGAACCTTAAAAAAGTCTCCTGTATGAAGCTGACGTGAAATGGGGCAGAAGTCAGACATTGTAGGGAATTATAGCATGGGTTCTTATTAACTGTATTTTAATTTTTGTGTATGATTCATGTTATTTAATTAATAAATTCAAAAAATATTTTGAGGCCCAGATTAGCGTAAGCTAAGGTAAAAGGCGTAACATTACAGAGATAGGTATGCCAGTTTCTGCCTCTGAGAATAAGCACAGTGGTATTTAATAGCAATGCTGTTGAAGAGATTAATCCATCTATACATTAATACTCACCTATAAGGTCCTTTAACTGTGAATGGGTCAGTTGCCTGAGCCTCACTTTTCTCCCTTGTGAAATAAGGAAGTTATATTTTCTACATAGTTTATTACATCGAGTTTGTTGGTGCCTTGGGCTTCCTTAAAGGCGATTCATGGGCTACTATGACATATGTGGAAGTAGTGAAGTGAATATGGTTTGGTCACATCCCTTGCTTTCAACCCAAATAGCTTTGCTTTTTGGGGTCCCACGTATTATATAACTCCCTCTATCACTGACACTCTAAATCTAGGACATAATGATCTGTAAATAATTATCTTAACACTGGTGATCTGCCTAAAAAGACTTTTGTGTATACAAATGGATCTTCTCAGAATTGAAAGGACCCACTCATTATACAGATGGAAAAATTGAGACTCAGGGAAGAGTGTCCTTGTGAGACAGGTTAATGTTATCATCATGATATCTGCCAGTGGTCAGCAGCCTGCTGATGCTGAGAGGCTGATTTCTTCATTACCATCGAAAATGGAACAATTCTAAACATGTTAAACTTATCTAAGAGGTTTTTTTTGGTCATTCACCCTTAGTATTGAAGAGACAATTATGCGCCCTATTATATTTCAAATTCACTCTGCAACATTTATTCAGTTTTATTAATCAACTTTAATGGTACTACTTCTAGTTACGTTGGTATAAAGAGGTCAGTGAATCCTCTCTGCAAAACGCAAATATAAAACAGAAGAAAATTTTGAAAAGCAGCCCTTTTAAGACTCTGGAAATTGACCAAATACAGATGATAAATTGAGAAGCATTTATTCTTGAAAATTGCTGGAACTTCATGTAAGAACAGCAGGGGTCTGTAACCTTTTTGACTGGGGCTGCTCCTGACTCCACTCTATTTGGTCATCAAGCAATGCAGTTTTACCAACAAAAGGACAGCCACACACACACACACACACACACACACACACAGCCAGAAATTTACAAGGGAGACCTTAGAAATGAGAGAGTCATAGAAAAGCTAAGATAAGCTCTCTGTAAATACATGGTGTGTTAAGCCATTCTTGCATTGCTGAGACTGGATAAATTATAAAGAAAAGAGGTTTAATTAGCTCATGATTCTGCAAGCTGTTCGGGAAGCATAATGCTGGCATCTGCTTCTGGGGAGGCCTCAGGAAGCTTCCAATCGTGGTAGAAGGTGAAGGGGGAGCAGGCACTTCATATGGTGAAAACAGTCAGAAAAAGAGTCAGGGGGAGGTGCCACACACTTTTGAACTACTAGATCTCATGAGAATTCACTCATTATTGTGACAACAGCACCAAGAAGATGATGCAAAACCACTCATGGGAAATCCACTTCTGTAATCCAGTCACCTCCCACCAGGCCCCACCTCTGACACTGGGAGTTACATTTCAACATGAGATTTTGGTGGGGACAAATATCTAAACTGTATCACATGGATTATGGAAAAATATGTGTCTCTTCAGAGGAGATCCAAGAGAGCCCAGTGAGAAATAAAGCCCAAAGAGACTTAAGAACTGCCACAATTTTGAATGTCTTCCCAAATCACCTACAAATCAATCAAGAGAGAGTGGAAGTCTTATGTACTCAAGATATTTGAGTACTACATTTGCCCAAATTATTGTATAACCACTATGCTAAGCAGCCACAGATGTCAAGCTAAATAATTTAAATAAGAATGTAAAAACTGTATAGAGACATCAGTGGCACACATTGCAGAAGAAAAAAGAAATAAATATTCTGCAGATTAATACAAGAAAGTAGTTAAAAATTAAAAACATTTAAAAAATAGAATCCAGAGATGCTAAAAAAAGGTATAATCTATGATGTCCAGTTTTCAAGCAAAAATTACAATTTTGTAAAGAATCAAGAACATGAAATCCATCCTTAGGAAACAAAGCAGTCAGTAGAAACAGAGTGGGCCAATATAGTGGGTTTATAATTATTTCCAAGTAACTGTTAAAATATGTTCAAATAAGTAAAGAAAATTATGTGCAAAAGTTAATGGCAAAATATGATGACCATTACTCAATATATAAGGAACTTTGATAGAGAATTAAAAACAGAAGGAAGGAATATAAGGAACTTTGATAGAGAATTGTACCAGAAGTAAGGAGGGAAGGAAGGAAGGAAGGAAGGAAGGAAGGAAGGAAGGAAGGAAGGAAGGAGGGAGGGAGGGAGGGAGGGAGGGAAGGAAGGAAGGAAGGAAGGAAGGAAGGAAGGAAGGAAGGAAGGAAGGAAGGAGAGAGATAGTGTTGAAAAGTATCATAATCAACATAAAAAATTCACTAGATGGGATTGTCAGCAGATTTGAGATGGCAAGAGAGTAAAGAATGAATCAGTAAATTTGATGATTAATCCCAAATTATTCAATTCAAAAAACAGACAAACAAGATTAAAGAAAAGTAAAGAACTGTAGAGACCTATAGGATAGCATAAAGCATATCAACCAACATGTAATGGGAGGCCCAAAAGGAGAGGAAAATAAATGTCTAAAAAAATATTTGAAGATATAATGAGAGGAGAAGATAGTATAGGAGGAAAAAACATATATGAGACATATAGAGACAAACAACAAAATGGCAAATGTAAATCCAAAAATATCAATGATGGCATTAAATATGAATGAACAAACCCTTCATTCCAAAGGCAGAGGTTGTAAGACCAGATTTTAAAAATAGGTTCAAGTATATATTGTCTATAAATGACATGCTTTTGATTCAATAATGCAAAGAGGTTGAAAGTTAAAAGATGCAAAAAGATACACCATACAAATGGTAACCATAATAAAGATGATTATATTGAGATAAGACAAAATATACATTAAAAGAAGAAATATTACTAGGGCTAAGGGTGCAATTCATAATACTGAAAGAAATAGTTAATCAGCAAGGTATAAAAATTATAAATGTATGTGAATATATATACTCTGAAATACAGGAAGAAAAAATTGAAAGAAGGCATTTAAAATTTAATAATAATAGTTGAATATTTTAGTAATCTTCTCTCAGTAAGTGATAGAATAATCAAACAGAAAATTAGTGTAGAGAATACCTGATCTAACTTCCATATAACAGTTCTTTTCAAAACAAAAGAATGTATATTCTTTTTGAGTGCCCATCAAAATTTCTCCAGCATAGACCCTATAAATAGGCTATAAAATAAATCTCAATATATTTTAAGGGATGGAAAACATGCACAGAATATGCACCTACACAACAGAATTAAATTATAAATTAACTTTCATAAGAAATCTGGGATATCTGTGAATATTTGGAAATTAAACAATGTGTATCAAATTAACTTATAGATTGAAGGGGAAATCCAATGGGTAATTAGAAAATATCTTTAAGTGAATAAAAATAAAAACTCAATATATCAAAATTTATAGTATGCAGCAAAAATAGTACATAGAGGGAACTTTGTAATTTAGAATATTTAGAAATGCAGAAAGATCTAAAATCAATAATCTAAGCATCCACATTCAGAAACAAGAAAAAGAAGTGCAAATAAATCCTAAAGTATAGGAAAGAACAAAATAAAAGCCAAAGTAAAATCAATGAAATAAAAATCATATGAACAATAGAGCATCCATAAATAACATCCTTTTTATTCAATAATTCATAGTTTGATTTCTTAAAATGATCAACAAAATGATCATCATTTAGCTAGACAGACAAAGAAAAGAAAGAAGATACAAGTTACCAAAATTGGGATTGAAGGAAGGGACATCACTACAAATCTTACAAAGTAAAAAAGAGTGTCATTAACAACTAAATGCCAACAAGTGAATACATTCTTAGGAGAACACAGACTACAAAAACTGATTCAAGGAGACATGGACAATCTGATGAGGTTTATTTTAAGTGGAAAAAAGTAGAATTAGTAATGAAAACTCTTCCCACAAATGGAAGTTTGGGCCCAAATGGCTTTGTTGATACATTCTATCAACCTCTTAAGAACAAAATAGTGCTAATCATAAAAACATCCTTTCATGAAATAGAGGAGACACACTTGCCAACTCATTTGTGAGGCCTGTGTTACTCTGATACCAAAGCCAAAATGGGGACATCACAAGAAAAGACAGCTCCAGCCCAATACTTGTTATAAACAGACAATAAATTATTATTCAGTGCTGAAAAGGAATGAACTATCAAGCCATGAAGAGACATGGAAGAACCTTAAATGGATATTACTAAGTTAAAGAAAACAACCTGAAAAGGCTACATACTGTATTTCCAGCTGTATGACATTCTGGAGAAAGCAAAACTATGGAGACTAAAAAGATCGGGGTTGCCAGGAATTTGGAAGGAAGGAGGGATAAACAGGTGGAGCAGAGGGGATTCTTAGGCAGTAAAACTACTTTAGATAATACTGTACTATTGAGTACACATCATTATACATTTTTTCAAACCCGTAATATGTACAGAACCAAAAGTGAAGAGAATCCTCATGTAAACTATAGACTTTGACTGATGATGTTTCAATGTAGGTTCAGCAATTACAATAAACCTACCACTCTAGTGAGGGATGTCAATGATTGGGAGTCCATGCATGGACAGGAGTCGGGGGCATATGGAAAATCTCTGCATCTTCCTTCTCAGTTTCGCTGTGGACCTAAAGCTGCTTTAAATAAAGCCTTTATAAAAGAGAGAGAGAGAGAGAGAAACACAACCTCCGGAAGAAAAATATAGTTTCACTTAAGTAAAAAAGGTGAAGTCACTTAAACAATGTAAGAGTAGACTTTTGCAACATAGTACGCTAATGATAAATTAAAACTATTTGCAAGTATTATTGATCACTTTACTCGTAGGATATAGAAACAATATATTTACATCTATTTGACCAGACCCCCAGGGGTCTGGACTAGCAGATTCTATTTATTTTAGCAAATAATTATGTAGTACCCTCTATGAGCAACATACTGCTCGATGTGTAGGGATTTTCCCCTAAATAAGACACACCTGCCCTCATGGAACTTCTAGGCTTCTGGGGAGATAGAAAATAAACAACTAATACATACACAATAATTCAGTTGTAATTGTAATGAGCATTTTGAAGGAACAAATAGATTGAGTGATTATAGGAAGGGAGGGACAATGGTAGATAGGATGAAATCAATTAGGAGACAATTATAGACACTCAAGTGAAGACAACATTAGCATTCTATCTCCCTTTTTTTAGATGACCTGTAAGTCTGGAGGCTATGTAGGAATTTAGAGATCATAGTAAATTATATTAATAATTATGCTAATATATTTATATAACATAATTTATAAGATAATTAATAATTATAGTTAACAGTTACATTTAACATGAGGACAGTAAGTACCAGAGATAGTAAGAGATTTGCTCAATGTTCTAGAAATTAACAAAACTACATCTCTTTAAAAATAATTCTTTCATTTATATTCTCATTAACTTGTTATGCTTCTCTACTTTCTCCCTGTAATTTGTCTAAAAGCCTAAGGTTTCACTATTGTTTAATGTATGTAATTTTATATTATGTGTTAGTTTATGCATATTCTGCCAACACTAAAATGAGAGAATCCTTCTTGTTAATGTCATAAAAGTTCTGGGACTAAGTGCAGTATTTCTGCTGACTCAGGACTGTGTATACTATCAACTCTGAGTCATTGTCCTCTGGGGAGGAGGTCCAGTGGCTGGAAGATCCCTTTCTGTCAATCGAGGTGTCAAGTGTCTAGAGATGCCTTCTAAATGGAGGTTAAGTAGTCATAAATAAAGTATTTTTACCCCAAGAAAAGGTGGGATATATGAACCCAGAGAGGATGGATTTTCAAGTTTTGTAATTGATCAAGCTTCAGATTTTTGGCTTAGAAGATGAGACGAAAAGTTCATTTTGGCAATTATACACTCTTAGGAAAGAAGTGAACTATGTGTGCTTCTTCTCTAGAATCATCACTGGCCCCTTTGGCCTTGTGAAATAAGTGAAGAGTCCCAAGTATGACCCTGCTAAGTAACAGTGAGGCTGGATGTAGTCTGTAAATTTCAAGTCCCTGTGAAATCTGAGGTTTTCCATAGTCTCAACTCTTTCATGTATGAGGCCAAGTGTATGTGTGCAAGCCTTGGTCCATAGCAATGCAGAAAAGTGGAGCTGAAAGATTATGGAGTTGACCAGTTGGTATTTGGATTCCTTTCCAGCAACTTTATAGTTTTCTGGACTTCAGCTATTTATTTCTAACTTTTTTTTTTTGTTTTTGTTTTTGTTTTTTTTGTGATGCAGTCTCACTCTGTCTCCCAGGCTGGAGTGCAGTGGCGCGATCTCGGCAAACTGCAACCTACGTCATCTGGGTTCAAGCGATTCTTCTACCTCAGCCTCCTGAGTAGCTGGGATTACAGGTGCCTGCCACCACACCCAGCTAATTTTTGTATTTTTAATAGAGACAGGGTTTCACCATGCTGGCCAGGTTGATTTTGAACTCCTGACCTCAGGTGATCCACCTGCCCCAGCCTCCCAAAGTGCTGAGATTACAGGCATAAGTCACCGCTCCTGGCCTATTTCTAACTTTTCTTAGCCTGTTTCCTTATCCGCAAAATGATTTTTTAAAAGTGATAGCCATTTCTTAGAGTTAATAAATGATTTAAAGTAACAAGTGTTTTATAGATAGACGCTTAACAATGTTGAGAAGCTATTTTTATGATGACTATCCCTAGTCACCCACAACTAATCATAGTTTGATTTTTTTTAAATTGTAGACTCTTCCCAAAATCCTTGATAAACTAGCACCAGCATTCACAATGAGCAGCTGCAGCTTCCTTGTGGAGAAATCTCGAGCCTCCACGGCCCGGGTGGTGGTGTGGAGAGAGATGGGGGTGTCCAGAAGCTACACCATGGAAAGCAGCTACTGTGGTTGCAACCAGGGCCCCTATCAGGTATGTGAGACTGCAGGACACCCATGCTTTCTGTCCAGCAGCAATACATAGAAATTACAGACAGCTTGTTCCTGCTTTCTCGCCGAAAAGGGGGAGAAGGCTCCAAATAGAGTCTGGCCCTGCTCCCTTGCCTTGAAAAACTGGATCAACAATTGCTTTCACCTGCAGGATCATCTGTGTTGATCCTGGAAGCAATGAGTGCATGCTTTCCAATTTAGTTCTTCAATCAGCTGCCCTCACCAGAAAGCAGCAAGGAGCCTTTGACGTGCATCCCCAACTTTTACAGAACCTCTGCCTGCCTGACTCTGTTATATGCACAAAATTCTTGTCTTCTGCAGCAAGTGGACTAGTTCTATGTATATCATAAAGAGCATAGGTCAGTCTGTAGATATTGTTGGTACATATATCTATTGTGTTTCCATCTTCTGTGCTGATCTAAATCTGTAGCTCTCTTTGTTATCCTGCTGTCTCCAGAGCACACAAAAGTGTGTGCACAGTGTGGGTCTCCCAGAATGAGTGGGTTTCGGACTCATATGCTAGCATTGAGAGAAAGTGCTCTTGTATAAATCACATTCTTTCTACAGCTATATTAACTGCATGAGCAGCTGGATAGCTGCTACAGCAGGCTGTTCTGGCTGCTTTTCCCACTCCCCCATAGAGAAGCATAAATAAAGGATATTTTGACAGTGCCAGGGTAATAGACTCTTGTAAATTTCTTAGGCAAGCTGACAGACCTCCTCAGTGACTTCCATTCAACCCCAAGAATACCTGGACCTCACCAGCACTGAGCTCATTGTGTTAGCTTTGATAGTCTCCTGGAACAGCTAGGAAGCACTTGGCACCTAGGCAATCCCGAGCTTGTAGAAATCTCTTAGTTACCGAGGAGAGTACAGGGTGTGACAGGCGATGCACATTATCTAACTTCTCACATGGTCGAAGATTTTTTTTAACTCAGGGCTATCAAACCACCCATGTTGACTATTAATTCTGTCAAATAGCCACTTAGTCTAAAGACTTGCTTCAGATAATTGTTTTGTTACTGAATTAATAAATTCTTTGACTGAATTAATCCTATTCACCCACATTAATGTAAATGAAGAATAAGAAGAGCTGAAATCATTGGATGAGCATGAGATTGGCCATCAAGAGATCTCACTCTTTCACTTACCAGCAGTGTTGAAAGCTACTTACTTCTAGCAACCTATTTTTTTTCATATATCAAATGCAGATTTTAATAAGGACTCCTTTTATCCTACCATACAAGATTTTGTAAGGACTAAAAGAAAACATATATGTGAATGTACTTGGAGGTTATATAATCAGGAATCTGTTCACTCCCTTGTCATTCAAAGCATATAAGATTGGAAAAAAAAAAAAAAAAAGCTTGAAATAATTGTGACTTTAAGGCCTTATGGACATAGGTTTTGTCTCTCTCTGTGTATGTGTCTTGATGGGAAGGGGCCTGTCATTTGTTTTAAGGACAACTCCGTGTACCTCTTCAGAGATTTATTGGCTTCGTGACTTTCATTGAGTTTGTTTCTCCAAGCACCAATTCAAACTAACAGCTTCTAGTCACATAAGTATCAACGATGGCATTGGAAACTCAGAGCTGGAAACTCAGAGTCCTCTGGAGCTGTTTGAAAACTAAATGACTCATCGGTCCAGGCCCTCACCAACTCTCTACCATGCAGTGTACATACAGGCTGTTGGAGAGGACAAAGAATGTAAGGGCTCGCTCAATGGATGGCCTTCAGGTATTGGCACAGCATTTATCCCGTGAAATTTTCCAAATGGCTTTTGCATGGGGTTACTAGAAGGAAGAATGGAGGGAGAACTGGCTAGAGAAAGCCCTAATAGTGCTAGACCTGGTTTTGGTTTAACAATCCCATTCTCTATATGAAACACCTCTCCGAATGTATTAGTTTTCTCCTTCTCTTTGTTTTCCTGTCCTTACAAACATTGTTGAGTAACTGAGCAGAATCACAGGCAGTGAGCAAGGGCATGGTGAGTAATTTTACATATGGGAGGGCCCACCCCATGGGAAGGAAGCCAGTCCAGAGTTGGGTGTTTTGGTGATTTTTGTGTGAGGTACACAATGCAGTCTATGAGCTATAAAGCAGCATAGAAATTTCCATCCTGAACATATTGCAAATGCTTTTTGTACATTGGGAAGCTGAGTCCCAGTTGAGTCTTGAGGTTATTATTCTAAGGTCATCTTTCCATTTTTTGTTTAGTGTTACCATTTATCCAAAAGATGGAGGATACTTAAATACACCCGTGAGGGGCATTCTTTCCTTCCTTCATAAGAATATAAATATTTTTGCAGTTTCTCTGGTTAATGCAGCTTTAAAGTAGCTCCAATCATTTCTCCCCCAGCACACTAAGTACCTGATTTGTTAGTATTGAAATGAAATATAATTTCTTACAGTGACATTTATATTGGAACTACATTAAAGAACATAAGCTATTACCTTAAAATAATGATTATTAATATGATATTTTCTCTTCTATTTTCCCGTCTATGGTTGGCTAATTAGAAAAAAAATTATCCGGCTTTTGTTTCTTTGGGATACAGTCTCTGTTGCTAGGTCATACACTTAGATCTATAACTTGTATTTAATGTGGAAATCCCACCCACTGAGAGATTTACTTTACCTATTAGGGACGGACCCAAAGCTATTGAGGCTGTTAAAGAAAAAGCCAAAATGGAATGATGCATCCTTTGGGGGCTCGTTTTTTTTTTAGAGGCATCCAGTCTATGTGGACAGCTGTGGGCTTTACACTGAGTGTTTGTGACCTGAGGTCACATATGTGGTGTGTTTGCATACACAAAGGCAAGTGGCTGGGCCCCAGGGGTTGCTGGTAGCTTAGGAGGAGGATGTGAGTCCCTCTACCCAAGCAGGCTGTCAACTTACTCCTTGCAACATTGCTAACTTGGACAGCAAAGTGGATCTTAGAGAAGGACAGAAGATGGTAACTCAGCTGAGGTTTGAAGAGTGACTCAACCTGTGTTTAAATTCTCTACCTGCAAGTTGCATCCTTGTATTGTGGGACCTTCCTGCAGTGCATCCGCTCTACCACCCACAAGGGCTCCTTTAATAACACAAATCTATTCAAGTCACAGTAATGCCCATAATCCTTCTAAGTATCTTTGTGTCTCGATAAAATTCAACTCCTCATCGTCATGAGTAAGGCCTTTCACAATCTCTTCTTTCATTTTTTTATACTCAATGCTTAGTATAGTATAAAGTAGGTATTAAAAATGATGGCTGACAAGTGAGTAAATAAGTGAACAAGTAAATGAATGGCAATTTCCAAGCCCTTAAATGATTATTCTCACTGTCCTTGGGTAAGTAGAAAAAGAGACGAAATTATTGTTGTCCACATGTGATCAGATGCCATTCTAAAATGGAGATTTTAAGAGACGTTGCAATGGGCGGAGATGGAAAATGTGTGGGTGAAAGAAGGAAAGACACAAGAATGCAGGGTTGAGACCTCTCAGACCTGCCACTAGATATGATTTGAGAGCACCCAATGGATTATTTCCCAGAGTAAGGCAATTCTAGTTCAGGTGTGGAATCTCTTATGGCCACATTCTAATAACAGATGATAATTAGGCAGAAAGAATTCCATCTATACATGTAGTAGATGCTGTGGTCCACCCTTGAGATCCCTCCTTAGGACCCAGGCACTCATTTCCCCTGGTTGTTCACAGCTGTGTCTATAACCAGGAATTGCTTGTAACTAAAGGACCCCATCTTGCCCAAAAGGTATGGCTCCTCCCTACCTGCAGCCTACATCCAATAGCTGATCTGTGGGGATACAAAAACCTTATCTCTTTGCCTCAGTTGGGGTGACTCCAAAGGGCCATTCCAGCTCTAGATCTCCCTATAGGATTAGCTGGCACCTCTGTGGCAATTCCCTTGTGGTTCAACCTCCCCTTCTGCCCAACCTTGTTTCCCTAGTAACTCACAGGTATTGTTACAGTAAGCACTCCCCAAAAGTTCTTCTATATGCAAATCTCAGCATCTCCGAGGCTGTTTCCTGCTGTAAACAACTTAAAACAGTATTTCAAAAAGGCTTAGATTAGAAAACACGCATGCTGGAAATGGGCACTTAAATTATTGGAGATGGTTTAGTGCGGATTAATTTCATATAGGAAATTCAATCATTGGAACTCCATGTTCAAGGCTCCCAGTGGCCCTTCATTCACTCCACTTGCCTTAGCTGTTTAGGGAACAAAGCGCTCTACTACAGAACTAGAGATTGCAGATCAGAGCCGGGTTTCTTGCAGTAGCCCAGATTGTAGGCTGGATATATTTATTTTCGGTAGCTGCCATAACAGATTACCACAACCTGGATGGCTTAAAACAACATAAATCTGTTCTCTCACAGATCTGGAAGATAAAAGCCTGAAATCAAGGTGTTGACAGTGCTATGTTCTCTGTAAAGGCAACTGTTTCATTCATTTCTTTGAGTTTCTTGTATTGCCAGAAATCCTTGGTGTTTTTTGGTTTGTCAATACATCACTACAATTTCTTCCTTTATCATCACATGGCCTTCTCTACTTGTGAGCCTCTATCTCTGTGTCTCCCCTCTTCTTCTTATGAGGACACCAGACATATTGGAATAAGAGCCCACCTTACTCCAGGATGACCTCATCTTAACTTAGTTAATTATATTTGTAGTGACCCTATTTCCAAATAAGCTCATATTCTGACATTCTGATAAGGAGATAAATTTGGGCGTTGGGCAAGATACCATTCAACCTAATAAACTGGGTCACACAAGAAAATATAAAATTCTTTCCAAGAATTAGGGAAGGTTTTTATTTCTGTCTCCATATTGCCATGCGGTGAAGCCCTAAATGTGTTATAACAGTTCTCATATTCTCTCTACCTCATGTTGAGGAAAATGAAAAGTTTCAGACTTTCTTGGAACATCTTAGAAGATAAATTTGAGACTCATGGCATGTATGAGTGCTGATTAAGGCTGCTCCAGTGTTATCATACACAATGTGAAGGTAGCAGTAATGATAACAAACACGTCTATCATACTTGTTGTGTGCTAAGCCCTTTACATCTCTTAAATTACTTCATGTCTGCTATTGTACAGCAAAGCACTACAACATCAGTTTTATTATTATTCTCATTATTACTATTTTACAAATGAGGCCACTGAGACAGAGAGGTTAAGTAACTTGCTCAAGGTCCCACAACTAGAAGTTTTTGAGCCAGGATTTGAAGCCAGACAGATAAGTTGCTGGGATCTTTGCTTTTACCTCATGCTTTCTGCCTAGTAGAATGTGGTTGGTAAAAGGGGCAGAAGACCCACCTTCCGCACTTGGCTGTCATTAAGCAGTTCTGCAGCAACAGGTGAGCCACTTAACCTCTCTGGGTCACAGTTTTCTTATTTATAATAGGAAGACAGAATTGGAACTAAAAGATAGGTATGGTTTCTGCTACATTATGTTGACCAAGTCTAACTTTGCTGGGTATCCGGGGGACTTATGGATCACCCAGACCAGGGTGACCCAGTGTAATGTTGAAGCCCTTAAAAATCTTCTGCAATTTTTCTTGAGTATGCATGTTTTTCTAGGAAGAAAGCACTCTGCTTTTAGCACGAATTAGCTAGTTGTCAAGTGACTTTGGCTGTTCTATCCACTATTTCCCTTCTCCTTTTCATTTTATCCTGGCTGGTCTTTATTTCACCTTTCCAGAGTATCCAAAGAGGGCTGAGAAGAATGTAACACACGAAGTGGCAGCTTTCCATCAGCAGGGGGAATAAGGAGCAGAGTAGACCTTCAGTGAAACAGCCAATTTTTCTATATCAGGGAACCTCCTAGGTTGCTTCCTTTTCTCATTTCACTTCCTCTTGACTTCTCTCCTTGTCTCATTAGAGAACCTTTGCTCTCACACAGTTCTTTGGACTTGCACAGCCCAGATGGGACACTTCTCCTCCCTAAGAGTGTCCTGAGCTGCAGAATTGCCTCTGTATCAGGATACACACACACACACACACACACACACACACACACACACACACAGATTCTTTCTCTCCAACACACAGGTATATGTATATATCACACATATATACACAAACATGCATCCATATCAATGGTTTTTAATCATAGATATATACAAGAAAGCAGAGTTTTTTGTTTAGTACGGGCTCTTGCATCAGATGTAGAGTTCCAGGGAGAGCTCTACATTTCACAGTTGTGACCTTGAGACAGTTCCTGACTTTTATGAGCTTTAGTGGTAAATATGGTATTCCTCATAGTTCCTACTTCATGGAGATGCTGTAAAGACTGAATGAGCTACTGCCTATAAGATGTTTATCACCATTTTCATAGTAAAAACTCAATACATGTTTACTGTTTGTATTTTTATTGACTATTAGGATCATTAATGGTGGTTTTCTTTTTCTATTTTAGATAAAGACACTTAGGCTCCAACTCTTAACCATAATCATCTTATTCCAACCTTCCTAATTAGAAACTTTGGGGTCTGAGATTAAGACTCTGAGATTTTATGAAGTGTAATATGCAGCCAGGGTTGAGAACCACAGATTTTGGCTTTCATAGACACTAATATCCATATACCTATATTTATAGGCTTAGCTACATCCAAGTAATATCTGTATGTATCATTTAGACATTTCCTTTATTATCCACTCATTTATTCTATCTATCAAATTTCCTGTGCTACATAATCTATATTATAGTTAATTTGTGTGTGAAGTCCCAGAAAAG